CGAGTGCGTGACCATGTTCATAGAATATTTATAAGGTTCAAAAATGACTTGCGATGGAAGTGAATAAAAAACGCTTTGACCGCACTTCAAGCAAAAAAGGTGAGATTTGCTTGTGAGCGACATTTCGGCGAATGATCCGACCTCAGAACACCTGTTTACGATGAACACTCAGGCCAGTTTTCCTCTTTTGGCGTAAATGGATTCTCGGCACGAATTCTGACAACGAATGAACGAACACAAAGGTAGAGGCGGTTAAGTAACGAATCCGCAGAACTTGTATCACTTAGCCGTCAATGTGCGTACTTCAGGAGGGATACAGAGGTAACAGCGCTTGGAGACAAATGCTGCCGGGTGTCTTACGTCCTGAAGATAGCCTCATTCAACAAAACTAAAGTATATTTAATAGTCGGTTTTGGTCCTTACGTCAATCTAAGTCCAGCCAGACTGGGTAGATGCTTGGACATCCTTCCATGGCTTCTGCACCGCATGTAAACTGTTTTGTTTTTTTTCAAATCAAATGAAGTCTAATCTCTTACTCATTCGCACTCTTACTCTTCCTATCACTATTCTTTGTCTCTCTCTCTGATTCTCTCTCTATCGTTATCTATGTATATGTGTGTATATATATATATATATATATATATATATATATATATATATATATATATATATATATATATATATGTGTGTGTGTGTGTGTGTGTGTGTGTGTGTGTGTGTGTGTGTGTTGTGTGTGTATATATATATATATATATATATATATATATATATATATGTATATATATATATATGTATATATATATATATATATATGTGTGTGTGTGTGTGTGTATATATATGTATATATATGTATATATAAATACATATATACATATGTATACATACACACACACACACACACACACACACACACACACACACACACACACACACACACACACACATATATATATATATATATATATATATATATATATATATATATATATATATACACGTATGTATGCATGTATGTATGCATGCATATATATATATATATATATATATATATATATATATATATATATATTATATACATATTTACACACGCGCGCACGCACACACACACACACACACACACACACACACACACACACACACACACACACACACACACACACACACACACACACACACACACACACACACAACAATATATATATATATATATATATAATATATATATATATATATATATATATATATATATTTATATATATATGGTCTGCAAACCTCTTGTCCTTATTCTAAGGGTATCATTCAGCAGTATTAGAATGTAACCATCCGGAATAACGTTTTTTGTGCAAACATCATTTTCGTAGTCAGCATAATTCATCACAGTTGGAAGGGGAAAGGCTGCTTTTTACGTTGATTATGATCTTTGGAATGCATGCACGGAAACAAAAGGCAAGAGCAACAAGCTGGATTTAGCTGACAAGCAATTTCTACAATGACAATTTGTCAAAGACAAATAGATTACCACGCAAATTACAATGTTGGTTTTACAAATTTAAGCAATTCCTTTCCACCGATAATCATTTCTTTATTTTGCTTATTTACAAATCGCCGGCGGCGGGTGCGTGCCTCAAACACTGCTTATTTTTAGAATTCAGTTATAACAAAAAAATAACAAGAAAAACTGAATTTGGCACATACATTGGACGGGGAGTATAATTTGCCAAGTTTACCAGTTTACAGAGAAAATAAACATTGTTTTAGCAAAACAAAGGTAGAACAAAAAAAAAATCTAACTAAAACCATAATTGGCAATGACCATGGAGCTGTGACCTCTATGACCTCACAACCTATTGTTAAGATCTCACGATAAATGCCGCTAGCCTTTGAATTAATTGGTTACCGTGTATATGTGTACATAAGTACAAGCAATGTAGTAGCTTTGTATGAGTGCGCATTTTATTATGTGATTGTATATATGCCCATGGTTATCACACACGCACACACATATACGCACACGTACACACACATATACGCACACGTACACACACACACACGTATACGTACACGTACACACATATACGCACACGTACACACACATATACGCACACGTACACACATATATACGCACACGTACACACACATATACGCACACGTACACACACATATACGCACACGTACACACATATACACACACGTACACGCACGCACATATATGCACACGTACAAACACAAACACATATATCCTTGAACCTTGGTTTTGGTTAGGAAGGGTTTTCTCGCACACACTCGCATACAAAAGAATGCCACGCCCCCTGCCTCCCCCATTCCCAAAACAACTCGAACTTGAGGAAAACCATATTTAAATAATATGGTTCTTTAACATAATTTTATAGTAAAATCAGCAAACGTATTTAATACAGAATCTCAGTCTTTCACGAGTCAGAAGCGAATTTTCTCAACATTTTTGAAAGATGCCTCTCCCAAAAAAGAACCATCGCCTAGT